CCTGTTGGAGCCCCACCCCACCTGGAGTCAAATCCCTGCTTTCCTTCCTACTGGCCATGTTATCTTAGGCAAGTTACTTAACTTCGTCTTCCCTCAGTTCCCTTTTTAAAAAGTGGATGTGATCATTGTTCAAACCTCATAGAGTTGTTAGGATGATAAAATGAGTTAAAGTATGGAAAAGAGTAAGAGTGCCTGGCACAAGTAGGTGCTCTCATTACTAACATCATCACCTCCATCTTGTCCGTTCCCTGGCATGATGCTGCCTTTGCATTGGAAGGGATGGCGTGAGGAAGCAGGGGGACCCTCAGAAGAGGCAAATATTTAACGGGCCTTGAAAGACTTGACAGAGGAGCTGGCTCTTGAGGGTGACATTTGGAGCTTGGGTGAAAGGCTTAACTGATGGGAATGAAAGAAGAGCAGTTAGGAAGGGAATGGCATGAGCGAGGGTGTGGGGACAAGAAAGAAGCCCAGGGCAGTCTGGGGAATGGCTGGGGAAGCTGGGGTTGACGAGGCTGGAAAGGTTACAGGCGGAGGACAGGTGGAGGAGGGCCTTGGAAGCCAAACTGAAAAATCCGTACTTAACTGAATAGGCAGTGGGGAGCTACTGAATCTAGAAAGGTGTTGATTCTAGCCATCCATTAACTGGCTGTCTCACCAAACTTTTTTATTGGTTCTCATAAATGAGCTGATTTGCTTGTGATTTTTCAGATCCAAGATATAGCCAACTGATGATAATTTTGGAGTCCCCTCTCCCCCAATGTTTATGTCTCTAGCTTGTCTTTTCATACTTGCTAAAACTTTCAGAACAATTTTCAGTAATAATAGTTTTCCTTGACATGTTCTTGACTTTAATAAGAATGTTTCAAGTATTTTACCAGTTAGGTATGATGTTGACTCTAGACTTAAGATCAACATCAGATCACAAGTGTATACTCCAATTCATATTTGCTAAGAGGTATTGTAAGGAATTAGTATTGAGTTTTAGCCAATGCCCTTTCCATAGCTTTGATATAATCATTTGATTTTCCTTTTTTGATACATTAACATGATTTCCCAACCAATGCTTTGATATTGATCATCCTTGCATACCCCAAATAAGCCTTATTTGGTCATGGTATGGTATTATTTTTCTAATATTGCTTGATCAGTGAGATTGATTTTTTTCATGTATATTAATAAATTGTGAGACTAGCCTTTAATTTTCATTTTGATGGAAATTTTTAAAGTTTTTATAGCAGAATTATGCTAGCTTGATAAAATAAACAGAAAAGGTTATTTTAGTTTTTATATATCCTGAAACAGTTTAGTAACAGAAATTTGTGTTCCTTGAAGGTTAAAAAGAACTTGCCCAAAACAAAAACAAAGAGCTTGTTTAAGAAGCTAAATAGATAAGGCATCTTATTTTTAAAAACAACTTAAGAAATGACTATGCTTCTTCTAAGGTTATTGGGCTGTTCATAATTTCTATCCCTTCTTGAGTTAATTTTGCTAATTCATATTTTTCTAGAAAATTCTACTTTTGTTGAGATTTCCACATTTATTAGAATAGAGAGGCCATCCATTTTCTTATTTTTTTTAACATCATTTCTTCCCTATCTCTGGTTATATCTTTTCCTAATTCCTTATCTTGATATTTGCGTCTTTTTTGAGTTTTTCCCTAGGTTTGTCTATCTTATTGGTCTTTTAAAATAACAATTCCTGGTTTACTTATTGTTGTGCCTGCTTTTCTGTTTACTAGTTTGTTATTTTCTGCTTTTTCTTTCTCCATTCTTTTTCTCTCCTTTCTCCAGGTCCCTTTTACTGATTTTTTTTTAGCTGGCTTCTTGAGTTGAGTGAGGCTTCGGTGAGGCACTGAACCCTTTCAGCATCAAGGTTTTAAAGCATGTGTAGCAGTGACAGAAACTATTGGGGTTCAGCCCCCCAGCGAAGAAAGAACCCAGCCCTAGGGGCTGGAGAGCTGGACTACAGTACCAGCTTTGCCTCCAGTCAGCTGAGAGTCTCTAGGCATGTCCCTTCCCCTCTCAGGACTCTCTTGTCCACCTCAGGCAGCCAGGCGGGATGTGGATCTTGTGGGGCTTGGCCGCGTGAGCTCCCCTGAGCCAGGCCCAGGCCGCCTCTCAGCAGGGTAACACCCTTCATCTTCCAGGACGCAGCCATGGCTTCCCCTCAGTGTGCTCCTGGCTCTCATCCCAACGCATATATCCACAAAAGCTGTGTAGTTGAATTTCATTCTGCATGTTGGAGCCAGTAAGCAGTGGTGGCAGTCTGGCCTGAAGACAGGGCTCAGCCTGGGTGTCCCAGGTGAGACACAGGGGGCCTCTGGACTTTGGGTCAGAAGCACAGCCGGGTATATGTGCAAGGCAATGGAATGGAGTGGCTACACATGGGGACTTTGACATTGTATTGCTTAGGTTTGAATCCTGGCCCTTACTGTGCAACCTTGGACAAATTACTAAACCTTTCTATGTCTCATTATCCTGTAAATTGGAGATAGTATCAGCACCTTACCTCATAGAGTGGTTGAGGGTTAGATGGGTTAATAATTTAAAATAATAAGAAGAGAGCATGGTGTTTTGTAATTTCTAGGTTAGCGTTTTTTATTTTATTTTTATTTTTAAATCATGTTTATTCTATTACAGTTGTCTCAATTTTTCCCCCTTTGCACCCCTCCGCCCATCCCACGCCCTGCCCCAGTCAAGTCCCACACTGTTGTCCGTGTCCGTGGGTCACTCATACATGTTCTTTGTCTAGTCCCTTCCCCTTCTTTCCACCATTGTCCTCCTTCCCCATTCCCTCTGGTCACTTTCAGTCTGCTCCATGTTTCCATGCCTGTCGTTTATTTTGTTCATTAGTTTATTTTGTTGAATAGATTCCACTTACAGATGAGATCCTATTTCACTGACTGGCTTATTTCACTTAGCATAATATTCTCTAGTTCCATCCCTGTTGTCACAAAAAAAGGAGTTCCTTCCTAGGTTAGCGTTTTTTGTTTGTCACTGTCATCATTAGGGTGTGACCGGAGGGCGGGACCCGGGTGGGAGCTGCCGCCCGGGTGGGTGGGGGTGCCCGCCCACCGGAACGGCCCCAGCCACGGCTGTCCTCTCTCCATACCTCATAGCCTGGCCCTGGCACTGTGACATGCACTAACCAGTCTGACGCTGCGCTGGCTCTTAACCATGAACACAGAGGACTATTACGGACTCCAGAAAATTCCTGCTTCGCTAGCAGGACGAATTCTTTCATTTACTCAACAAATATCTGTAGGCCTATGCCATTCTGACTTGGGGTACAAAGACTTGATCCTGGAGTTTAACTCTGGAGAGAGGAGCTGCTTCTGAGGGTGTGGGGGCAGAACTGGAAGAGGAGGAGCGGGGGAAGCGTAAGACTGCTGGGAGCTGGGGGAATCCCCTTAAATCACTTGTAAGTGTGGTCAGTTCTGCCAACTCCAATTATCTGTTCAATCTCGGCTCTCATGGGAAGTCATATGCAGATCATATGGGAGGAATTGAGGACCCTTGAGGGCATTTGCTTCCCTGTCACAATGCCTCATGTGAAGAGACACCAGCCATTCTTGTCACAAGCGAGAATGCCCAGCCCAAAACTAGGAAGGTAGTGAGCAGAGGGAAGGAGGGAGCCTCCTGTCTGGCAGCTTCCTGGTGTTTGATAAGGTTCTGGAAAGTAAGCAGAACCGTGTGGAGCGAGGCAGCCTCTGGGTGCTGGCCGGACAGTCCAAATGCCTGGCCCTGGGAGGGCCGTCCTCTGTCTGGGAAGCATTCACGTCTCATGCCATGCACTGGCTCATAGTTTTTGGGGGTGTGTTGGTTAGAAGTGGTCCTTCCTGCTGAGCCGCCTACTAGTGGGGCTGAGCTCAGAGTCATGGGCCTGTGTACTACCTGCACTGCTCCACCGGGCCTTCGCAGAGGCTCCTGGGACCCGGCCTGGCTCTGCGCCGTCAGGGGCTGCTCCCCCACACGCCTGGACCTCTTCTGACCTCCTTAGTCCTCAGTGACCACACCCAGAAAAGGCCGAGGTTCTGCCCTCCCTCCCTCGTCCCAAGGCCACCTTACTTCCTGCCCACTTCCCAGTGGCATCCCCTTCTTTCAGAAGCAACTGTCCGTTCCACCCAGCGGGGTGGGGTCTCATCTTCAGGGGCCCACAGGTAACCGTGGCACGGTGCGCTCTCCCTTGGGAAGAGGTCTTACCCATGAGCCCCTTGTTACATGCATGTGACGGGCAGTGTGGGAAAGGGCTGCAGCCCCACTCTTTCCCTAAGAGGCAGACGTACCTGAGAGGCATCTCCCCCAGAGCCCTGCTCCTTCAGTGCTTGGAGGAGCCATTTGCCTACGCATTTATTCCCCAAGGCCCTACTAGGCACCATCCATGTGGTGGAGGCAGGCTGTGTGGTTTACGAATGAGGAGCCACCCCTGCTCCTCAAGAGCTCGTAGCCCGCAAAGAGGGGGACACGCACTCGCCAGGATCTCTGCCTGAAAAGGCTGAGGCCTCAACCTCCAGGCCCCAGTGCCCAGAACAGTGTCTGGTATCAGAAAGGCCAAAGGAAGGATTCATTGAGGACCAGAGCTGTAGGGGTTTGAGGCGGAGGGAGGCGTCTGAGATGTTTTTGGAGGCAGGCGGCGTTGGGTGCGTGCCCCTGGAGGCGAGGGCTTCACGCAGCGGGCGCAGCAGAAGCGAAGGTGTGGCTGCACAGAAGTCCTGGTGCTGCTTGGGGAGGAGAGAGCAGCTGAGCTGGTTGCAGCTCCAGCTTCCCAGGGACATAGCAGAGCCATCCCTGGCTCCCGCTGAGTGGGGCCAGGGTGGCTGGAGGAGTGTGCGTGCGTGTGTGTGTGTGTGTGTGTGTGTGTGTCCATGTGAATGAGGAGCTGGGGGCATGTTGGTGTTCAGCGTCCAGACGTGACAAATGTGCAGATATCCGGGGAGCTGTGGACATGGGCTACTGGCTGTGGAGATGCTCATCCTGTGATTTGTTGCTTTGATTCCTCAGGCCGAGACTTGGCGAGCACAACCCTTCCTGGGTACCCTCCGCACGTGCCCCCCGCCGGACAGGGCAGCTACTCAGCACCGACGCTGACAGGGATGGTGCCTGGTGAGTTTGCATTGTTGGCGTCTCTGCAGCGCAGCGGATGGGGTTTCGGCGGGGGGCATCCCCCCCAAACCGCCCTGGTGACCTCTCTCCTTCTGAGAAGTGGACCTGAATAAATCAGGCAGAGGTCTGCACTCTCGGCCTCCTCTACAGCTGGCCTGCAGTGGGGCTGGGACCAGCCGGTGGCAGCACCAGGGAAAACATCAGAGCAGGGGGGCTATTGGCTGTCACTCAAACATCCCCTCGTTGGCCACACGGGAAGTCTGAACACAGAGGGGTGCACGACCTGGTGGAAGGTCGCCCAGCCTGTGGGGAGTGGGGGCCCTCCCCCATCCTCTCTCCTCCCACCCTCCCTTTCCCACCCAAGCTGTGTGACATGAACACAAGGAAGCGCCCCTGAGGTGCTCTGCCTGGCCTTACTCCTTGGAATTGAAGACCATGTGCTCAGGACAGACAGCATGTTGTCTGGTGGGTTTGTCACTTGATTCTAAACTGAACACCCTGTGGCCATTGAAACCTAATCCCCTCAGGCCAGCGATGTGTCAGTTCCTTTCAAGACATTTGGAAAGGAGGTCGCCACGTGTCCTCCCATGGACAACACATCACATGATACCGGCTGTGTACTAAGGGCATGAGCACAGCAGGGATACCCTAAGCATCATTTTTTAGAAAAATATTTTAAAAAACAATCAGTGGAAAATCAGGTTGAAGTGTTGTTACACTTCTCTGAAGGGTTCGTGTCGCCCCTTGTTTGGAGTCGTCTGCAGGGGCCACAGCTCGTATTCAGGGCTGGGGGCTGGGGGCTGGGGGCTGGCGGCCGCTCCTCTCCCAGCACAGGCTGATGACTCTCTCAGGGCGCGTGAGAAAGCCAGGCTGGTTATTTCCTCCCTCCTCACCCGGTGGGTTTCTCTTTGGAGCCTCACAACAGCTCTGAGAAGTAGGTGGGGTGATCATTCAACCAGCTTTCTTAGGGAGGAAACTGAACCCAGAAAGGGGTTGGGACATGTCTAAGTCACCCAGCAAATAGGAACCCTGATCCAGCATGAGTCACCCTTAGACCCACTCTGGCCCCCACAGGGATCCGTCCACCTGGTACCTGAGCCCGCCCTTCTAGCCCACCCTGGGGGGTGCTGTCCAGATAACCCCAAGCTGCTTCCGGTCTCTTCTCGGACCCATGTCACAGGCGTGTGCACCCTGGGGCCAAGGACTGGCTCTTTGTGGGGGTGTGGACAGAGCTTGGATGTGAGGGCTGGGTGTCCACACCTGTGCGTGAGGCCTCGCAGGATGATGAGTGGAGCGGGGGATGGGAAGGGGGGCAGAGCAGGTCATAGCTCACGTGGGTTCCCCCCGTGTAGCCAGGTCCTGGTGCAGATGCCAAGGAGTCCCCGAATTCTAAATTCACTCCTGGCTTTCCAGGTTATTACGAAGATGTGTTTAACAAGGTAGGAGGACAGAGCATGTTTCATTTAACGGTTTGTTAGCTTGATTTATGGCTTTTAAATATGAGACATATGGGAAGCGGCCTCCGTGTGTACTCTTGCCCTGGGCCTTGCCAATGCCAAAGATGCCTGCCAAGGTCACACCTGCAAAGCCTTTGCCTTTTCTGCTGCAAGGGTGGGTCCATGCAGAGCAGAGGGAAAGATCAGGCAGAAGGCAAACAGGTGGGGGGACACCCCCCTTCCCGCCCCCACCTCCCCTCATTTCCCGACCATTAGCAAATTAGGGCAGCCTCAGGAGGTGGATCGCGAGCCATGCCCATTAGTGGCCCTTCAAATCCATGTAGCATTTTAAAGATTGCAAAGTGCTTTCCTAGGAGCCCTCTGACGTTACAACCCTGGGAGGTGGGCTGGTCTGGAGCATAGTCCCTGCTTTCCAAAAGGAGAAGCTGAGACTCAGAGCAGTTCAGGAATTTTCCAAGTCTGGGTCTTTGCCCTCCAGCTCAGCGCTCCCTGCTCTGTTCTGGGCTGCTGTGTGTGCTCTGGGTTTATTGGCGCAAGCTTCTTGGTGATGCCAGAGAAGAGGGCGGCAGTAGTTTGGCAGGTGAAGCTGAGGCCACCCCGCTGGCCCTGCTGCGTCCCCACTGCAAACCCCAAAGAGGCCGAGTCCGGGGAAACCCTGGGCCTGGCAGAGCCCCCGGTAGGAACTGATGGCAGCTCCTTGCCCGTTTATAATGCAGCAGGGGTCATAGGCCGAGCCTAACCAAACCTACTGGCAGCGGCTGGGCAGGGAGCACCACAGTGGCGTGGTTCCCCTGAGACTCTGTCCCCAAAATAGAGGGAGGTACACAGTGTGCTCCTTCTGTGCATGTCTCTCCCCTCCCTTTCTCCTCCTCCTCTTTTCTCTTCTCATACACCCAGCACTCACTCAATGCCAGGCTCTCTGGCAGGGTTGGGAGTCCACACTTGGTGGGCACACTCTTTAGTTCCAGTTCCTCAATGTCCAAATCAGTTTCCAACATGATTTCCAAATCTGCTTCTTGGATGGCTTCACGCGACTGTGCTGGCTCGTGCGCACGGGCGTTGCTGGAGCTGCCCCAGGGTTGGCCCACAGCAGAGGTGGCCCCCCTTTCAGCAGAGCAGGCCCTCGGCCTGCCATTCAGATTCCGCCGTGGTCTGGCCTCAACTTGCCCTTCTGGCCCCCTGTCCCAGCCTGTCCCCGACCCTGATCACTCCCTGGTTCCCAGAACAACTCACTCTTCCCGGTCAGGGGCCCTCTTGGTTCTGTGCCCTCAACTTAGACCACTTCCCGTCCTAGCCTGCTAGGATCCAGCCCTTCAGGGCTGAACACACCTATCACCTGCTTCATGAAGCCTTCTGGTGCGGCCCTCCTCTGGGGATAAAGCTTTACACTGGCTTTGTTATGCCACGTGGCCCAGTGTGTTCGTGGCCCACTTAGCTATGCTCCTGGGAGGTGATGTCATTGAGGGCCAGGCCCTCTGCCTCACTTGTCTTCTGCACTCTTTAAGGACCCTAGCACATAGCTGGTCCTTTAACGGATGTCTGCTAAGGGAGGGAGTCGGGGAAAATTAACATGAACCCATGAATTAGTTTTCTGTGGATGCTATAAAAAATTACCACAAACTCAGTGCCTTAAAGCAATAGACATATATTCCCTCTTAGTCCTGGAGCCCAGAAATCTGCCATCAGCATCACTGGGCCAAAATCGAGGTGTTGGCAAGGTCTGGAGGCCTTGGGTAGATCCGCTGCTTGCCTCATCTACCTTCCTGTGGCCCCCGGCGTTCCCGGGCTCTGGCTGCATCACTGCAATCTTCCAATCTCCCTCTGCTCCATCTTTACTGCTCCCCTCCTCTGTGGGTGTCAGATCTCCCCCTGCCTCTTATAAGGATACACACAACTGAATTTAGGGTCCATGCAGATAAACGAGGACGATCCTTCCATTTGCAGATCTTTAACTTAATCACTTCTATAAAGAAACCCCTGCCCCCTGCCTTTATTGGCCATAGAATTCACACAGGTCCCAGGGATTCGGATGTGGATATAACACAACCTGCCGGAGGATTTCGACTTTGTATATGTTCAGATTTCTGATTCATAACCTCTTGGGCTGGATCTGGGAAGCCTTTAGTTGATTGTAATGGTGCTGAAGGTGATTCCGTTTCATAGACCGCTAGGGGCAGGTTGGTACAGTTCGGAGAAACGAGCTGAGAGCAAGGCATTGGGGGACCGGTTTATCATACCCTTGTCCCTGAGGCTGCTTCAGGGTGATGGGTTGTTTCGCTGGACAGAATGGCCCCCTCTCCCCGCCTCCAGGGGATCCAGAGAGAAACTGGCAATCTTCTGAATTGCTTTTCCCAGGCTAGGTTTTTGGGACATTCGGCTGCCACGGCTTCCATTTACAATGGTTTCCTTTTAGGACAATGGAGGGAGCTTGTCTACAGGGTATACTTTGGGCAGCCAAACTTCTGGGCCTGAAAAAAATGGACATTACATTTTCCCGTATTAAATGCCAGTCTGTTGGCTTGGATTCTTGTTTATTTGAATCCTGATTCTGCCATTAGGGTGTTGCCTGCCCTTTCTGGCTTGAGGGCATCCTCACATCTGCAAACTGGGCTCTTCGGTCCTCTCCAGTGCTTGCGGATTCCGTGTCTACAGCTCTGTGGACCCCATGCAGCCCTTTGCTGATCAGTTACATTAAATAAAGCAAACACGGCCATAACCTATCAGCTCAGAATGGAGACAGTTTTCAGATTTCATCTTTTTCAAATCCCAGCCAATGCCAAAACGTTTGCACCAAAGATTCCATAGTGTCTAGAATCTTTGACTAGTTGGTTCTCGCCTGAAGATATTTGTATGACCTAATATATATTGGCATGGCATTTGATACTCTTAAGCATTCCGAGCTGGGGGAAGAGGAAGGGGCGTTCAGTGCCCTTTATCTTTAGTGAGTCCCAGGAGCAAGGTAAACCATCTTTAAGAAGAACCAGACAAGGAAAGCCGGCCCCCGTGTACCCCCAGGCCCCACACGCCTCTTACTTGACTCCTCTTTGGGGGCTTTAGGGCAGAGTGACAGGAAACCTTGACCATGTCCTGTTTGCCTCCCAGGGCTGTGACAGATGATGCTGTTTGATAGGAAGCCCTAGAAGGAGTGTGGTGGGTTCCTCAGTCCTGGGCACTCTCCTTGCCATGTATTTACATCATTTCTAGCTGCCTTTCAATTAAATCGCTCATTTAGCTGATGGCTTTTATTTTCTTGACGAAGTAGGAGGCTGAGGAGGCCTGGAACAGCAGCAAGAGACCAGCAGACACGGCCCCCTTCCCTGCCCCCTCCCCACCTCCCCAGCGCTGGACTCTGGCAGGAGGAATGAGAGACACCTGTGATTTCCTCAGCTTCAAGGGCTCCCACTGACGGCCCCGCCAGCCCTACCTCTCTCATCCCTGTGGGTTTCGCCTCCTCAGAGGGGCTTTCCCTTTGACCCAAAATGTACGTTTCCTATTGCTGCTATGATGCATTACCACAAACAAGTAACTTAAAACAAGAGAAAT